AGATCACGGAGAGGTAGAGAGAAGACAGAAATAGAATGAGCACCCAGTGTAAGGTAGAGAAAACTTCGGCAATGTTCAAAGGCGAAATAAGTTCACATCAACACCTTTGATGTTGCTGGCAGCCGCCAGACAGAAGGAGACAATCTGTCTCTCTGGTATACCGCCCAGCTTGAGAAGTGCCTTAAACCACCCAAAACCCTGCAGCAAGCTTAAAACACATTCACAGACTGTAACGCGCACATCAAGCACTTCAATTACACTGACAGGCAAAGGCACCAGAGATGCAGGATCAATCTTAAATGCCGATATCTCTTATATTCACTTTCACCATTCAGCACAGACAAGACAGAATATCTGGACTATAATTGTTCAAACGAATTGCCATTAGCAGGGAAAGTTAAGCCACTCATTTCACTCCAGAAAATGTTGAATTGTGCTTGTGGTCATTCAAGTCTGTTGCGTATTGAGGTCAAAGGTTGAATTTAACTTCTTGTAATTAGACATGATGTTTAGGGACAAAAAGCCCTTCATAGTCTTTGGTCATTCACAGTGCTACAGAAACTGATTTTCAAAGCAACACTAAGTTTTCTTTTACCTTAAAATAATGTTTCCAAAATCATTTCAGTGGTTCATCAAGTCGTAACAGGGTGAAAGGCACTTATGCCCCCGCTTTGTGGTCCTATATCTGCTATAACCACGCTATGTAAGATTGCCAGATCGGGTCGCGTTTCTGTAGTTCTAATGAGACATAAGAAAACTACAAATTTGACTTTCTTTACGTCAACCGTTACAATAGTCATTATTTTGTTTTTCTTCGTTTCTGATGTCACAATACATTATACTTTCATGAAATCATGCAACATACTCTACCGTGTCTGTGGACATCTTTCATTCCAAAGCCGGTGCTGGATAAACAGCAAGCGTGCTTGCGACAGTAGGCTGTGGTAGGCTAAATTATTTACGACAGCAGTAATGGACAATTCCGCTTTCAATCTTTAGGGCGACCGCAGAGGAAAAGTTACTTGGTGTTGCTTTAAGTAAGTTCACATGACAACAGTCACTAAACAAACTTTGGGCATGCATTGGAATGATCTGTTAGCACTGAAAGTTTCCAATCATGCAGAGAAAGATTCAGTAACATCAGACTTCAAAGACGGCACATCTTTTTTTTTGTTAAGACAAAACAAAACAATATAAACATTCCAAAATTATGTGTTTCATATAGCGGTGATAATTTGTCTAGATTTCTGATATGGTAACGCATTTCAAAAGAGATTATATTCAATATTCCCTATTTATCTGAGCATTTTATACAACTTAGAAGCTGTTTTTACACTTATAATTCATAACACACAGGGGAAGAGGTTGAATCACTCAAACAATTGCTTTGGGTAGGTGAATTTGCAACTTGTAATAATGTCCTACCATAAAACTATATTAAAGAGCTCATGCTGACAACATACAAATCCTTTCCAAAAGTCACTACACTTTACTCCAGATATGGTTGCATACAACTGTTTGTGTCGTTAATAAATACTTTGCTGTATTCACATCCTGCAAAGACAATTGATTAGAGTAAGATCTTATAGGCCTACTTTTTTTTTTATCACATATCAAAAACTCAAATTATTACATCCCACACTTTTCACAATTTAACTCTTTAAACAGTATATAATATAACATTTTACAGACATTTTCACTTGAAACATTCTAAAAATAATAAATAATAAAAAGAATAATATTATTCAGCCAATGAATGCTTCAAGTCTGCATAGGCCAAATAATTATATCTGATAATAATTACATCTGAGTTAAAAGGTGCCGGGTTGTTTCGTATTTATATGAATGTTCCGAATTGAAATAGTTCACGAGAACATCCTGTATAGTCTTTAAAACGAAAAGCTGTGATGGCAGATCTACCTTGTTAAAACGAGTATACGCCTAAATATTTGACAGAAATATATGAAATAGACATAAACTGGGACGTCTCGTGCATTATAATTATAAGATAATTTTAGATTTGTGAGTTGCCAATTGTGCATTAAAATCTTAATAAAATTAACCTCCCTTTTATGGATTTTTAGGATGGTGAATAAGTGCCAAGTATCCATTTTTAGTCAGTTGGTATACGCGGATAAGCATGCGCATTTTAATCGAGTTTGTTCATTGTATCATCTGCGACATCTGTGAAAAATTAGAACAAAAGCCACTTTGAATTTTGGTTTTGGACACCTCTGGGTCAACCAATATATTTGTTAGCGGAAGCGATTTGTTTAAATTGCATTTATGATGCGCGTTCCAGAGACATATTTGAAGGATTCTTCATTTTATTGGCTTTTTTACGCTGCTGAAGAGGGCAATTATTTTCTCAAGAAATAATGATAGAAATAATTTAGGTAGAAGGGTTAATGATAACGATTGCATTCATCTTTAACTGATAGTGTCAATAGGAAAGATTGCAACTCTGAACGGACTTTTAGGGACTTTTGAATTGGTATCAAGACTTCTTGGTGGTTTAGGATCTGCTTATACAAGACACCATTAGACTAACTGATGGACAACTAATACACACCTTAGATAATTACAACAAACTTCAGAGAGCTTTAATTGCCTGCCAATGAAAAAAAAAAAATCTAATTTATCAAACATATAGCAAACTATGTTCCAAAAAGTCGGCTAAACTTAGCCTGAACATTTACTGTGCTATCAAATACTGGCCTCTATTTCTCTGTCATTCTGCCTTTACATCAGGAGAAATTTTTTTCAGCACTGGTATTCAGCTTAAGTCAGTGAAACACGTGCCATAACATTATCACCTGCCCTCAATCATAGGTGACATAAACACAATACACAGTATCTAGGCAACAGATATACACACCAAAAGAGAGGCACACACATTACGACGCCAGCTAGTCTGGCCTAGGACAAGAAGTATTGTTATTAACCTCTTTTCCCCAGTGTGAATGAAAACCAAAGTGAGGGCATATCCTTGTATTATGACTTCAGGGGCTTGCTTTGTTCCCCTCTATATCATGTACACATAATTACAGACTGATGGAGCTACACTTCTCTTTCTTTCTCATTTTGTCTCGTGCTATCCTCTCTTTCTCTTGTTGTGGCCTATCTCTCTTAATCACTGTCAAACTCTCTTTGCTTTTATATCTCTCTCTCCCTTTTTCTGACACATTTTTAAAGCAGTGCTTCCCCAATCATATAAAGAGGGTTATGACCTGTAGGCATATTGATGAACTCAAGCACCATTGTTGGCTAAATCTACATTTTTTGTTATAAAAAAAAAAGGTTGCTACCATACATTTTTAAGTCCAATCAACTTGGATGTTTAAGTCATTTCAACCTAAATTACATTAAACTGACTAAAAAATAGGCTATTTGAATCTTGTTTAACAAAAAAATGTATGTAAAAAAGTTGTCATATTTACAATGTAGTGTTGTAATAGCCTACATTCTGATCAAATCTCATTAGCATAATGCATTGGAGTTTTTGTCTATTTGTTTCCTCGAGTTTAGCCAAGGTGTTTCAGCATTGTAACCTACTGTCTGGATCGGCAGGCATCGAGGTTGGGTGTGTCGTGACGGTTGGATGTAGCCAGTGTGTGTGTGTGTGTGTGTGTGTTGAGGAATGTTGGCACAAGATAAAAGCATCTATAAGCATCTATAATTTGTATAATTCTCTCCTCACGTCACTCTTTTGGTTTAATAAGCGTGCCCTTCAACCAAAACATGTAAAAACATAGTACATGTCAATAGCGGCTCTTTTCAACTTTATAGGCTACTCTCAACCACGAAATAGCTAAATGAGTTTCAACGAAAATCAAAAGTGGTGGATGAATTAGCCGTGGGATGCTGCAATCACTTTGTCTTGTCTATCAGACTTCCTTATCATATAATAATTTGTTTTAAAGCTGTTAAGCTCTGTGGCTTTGTTTGAAAGCTGTGGCTAAAATAACAGAATCGGAATTAGACACAGTCGAAACTACAATGTTAACGCGAGTAATTTAACGAAAAATAGCCTTCTAAATAATCATGGGAAAAAAAATAAAAGACAGTATGCTAATTGTAATTTTATTGTACTTTGTAAAATATTTGTATAAACTAGGCTATAACTGTTTGGAAAAGGCTAGGCGATATTTAAATGTTGAATCAGGTCTATAATTTATCGAGAATTGAAAAGTATTGTTCAAATTATGTTAGGCCTATAGGCTAAAAAAAAAATCCCTTTGGAAGATTGCCTCGTTTTATAGCCTAGATAGGCACGTTTTATAAGTAAAATCGTCTTTTTATTTTTATTATGTTATTAGGCTATATATAGGCTACTTATGTACAAAAATAATGTTTATGATTTATGAGTTGATGATTATTGCATTGTTTTAGTAGCTATAATGTGTTACCCTGATGGTGTTTTGTCTTTGTTATAGGCTAATGATCACATATTTTTTATAGTTTTGATTTAATCTTCTTGGCTGCATATCACTTGTGCTATTTTCGATGAAAACAGATTTTATATCAGATAGGTTATTAGCTTAGCCTATATTAAATGACATAGCCCTGTGAGTCCCCAAATGATAGCCTACTTCTTTCTCTTTCTTTAACAACGATACATTTATGGCAACCGCAGTTGTCAAGTAAGCATCGCATGCTTAGGCCTATATGTTGGCATTTTTATTTATCAACCTTTATGGATCTTTAGCCATATTGTCTGAGTTCCGAGTTGAAAATAGTTTCCAAATAGACTAGGCTGCTTTGTTTTTATTTGTTTAACACTTGGCCTACACATAAAGGTAGCCCATTAGTCCAACGAAGCAAACGTTTGATTTTTTTTTTAATCTTAACGTGGGAATTGCGATGTTCCGTACATGTTACAATACTGACGTCACCGCCTCTATGAAATGACGCGAACGGCGCATGCAGCCAATAAGATAGCGCGTTCTCACTGCTGGAATTAACTTCAATATGTGATGGGACTGTTGAGATGAACTTCACAGACTTACACTGCCAAAACGAAAGCAAACTCATGCGCCTCGCGATTTTACGGACATGGATCTCTCTAATGGACTTCTTTAAGGGATGGAAATCACATGACTCTTCTAAATAGATGCTACTTTTTATGATGCCCCGGTCTAATGGACATAACTCTAAAAAATGACTATGACTTCACTGTCTGAAAGTTTGGTAGCTTCAGACCCTTCAAAATCGGCATTTCTGGAGTTCAGTCACGGTTACCAGTCTCACCAGCAGCATTCACCCGGTGTATCTCACGCGCACTATCCGGTGCACGGTTTGCATCAAAGCGCACATTCGCAGTACGATGCAGCCTTCTCTTCTGGCGCTGCTCCGTACGGCCGTCCGCTCACTTACCACTATCCCAGCGCCCATCACCATCCCGGAGCTTACCTTCCCTATCAACATAACAGCGCAGTCGCTCATTCAAGAATGGAGGATGCAGGTAAAGTGTGCTTTCCTTCACCCAACACATTAGATTAAAACGATTAAAACGATTCCGTTCTACTAGGTTTTGAGAAAATTAGTTATTCCTAATTAACTGAATAATAATAATCCTGAATTCTGAAGTTAGAAACGCACGATTTAGACTTGATATGGCTCTTTACATTTGCGTTTAGTCTAATTTAATTAGACTATCCAACCCATAATGCAATACGTATTGAAACGTTTAAAATGGTAAACAATAATTTGCAACAATCTATAGAAGTAAACAAATTTTCCCAACTCTAAAGGCTACATTCGAATGCTATACTTTAGGCATGGCTCCTGTACTACGCAATATGGATTAATATTGTAATGCCCCCCTCAGTAGTCAAGAAAATGTCAGAGCCTACACACACACACACACACACAACGGATTGCAAAATAAAAATATAAATAGCCTATGATACAAATGATTGTTTATTCGACATGGCAAACTTTTATTAATGACAGCCCTATTAGATTTTTTATTTTTTTTACTTATAACGTGAAATGTGACTAAAGTTACAAATTCAAAATAGGCCTACGCAAAAAGACAACTAGATTCCAGCTAGAAACTAACAATTAAACGCTAACGAAATTGTCTTGAATGCAGTGAACAAAATTGTCTTGTATTGCTATTTTCTTCTGACTGAATAGACTTTTGATTAAAAATATTTTTACTTCTAATATTATTATTATTGTTGTTATCATTAGCCTATTATTATTATTATTATTATTACATAATGTCATATTTCTTTTTCTTAATCAAGATTCCGAGAAGCAAAGTTCCATTGAAAGTGGAGAAATACGGCTGAACGGAAAGGGGAAAAAGATTCGCAAACCGCGCACGATCTACTCGAGCTTACAGCTGCAGGCGCTCAACCAGCGCTTCCAACAGACCCAGTACCTCGCGCTGCCTGAACGCGCTGATCTGGCGGCCAAACTGGGTCTGACACAAACACAGGTAGGCCTACATGACAACATTGAATCAAAGAAAGAAAAAAGCTCTATCTTTACGCCGTGTATGCTTCTCAAAATTTCTCAAAAGACAGTTGAAGAGTTCAGATGCAAAAGCCTCTAAGTGCCATTTGAAATTTTCTTCTAGAATGATCATTTTTATCAAGCTTGTATATTTAAGTTCAGTGATTTCACTTAAATGGCAATGATAATTACCTATTAATTGTTATTTAAGTGAAATTACTGAACTTAAATATACAAGTTTGACAAAAATCATCATTAAAGATAAAATTTCAAATGGCATTTAGAGGCTTTTGCATCTGAACTCTTCAGTTGCTTTATAGTAAAAAATGAAAGGTCTTTATTATTATTATTATTATTATTATTATTATTATTATTCTAAATAACATAAGATTGATGGTCTAGAACTATAAGCACAAGCAATGTGAAGTCTACAAAGGCATGTAAACCAGAACGTTGGAGCGTGCATTTCATCTTTGCGCCACGTTTCAGCCAATATGAGTGTTCAATTACCGAGAGCATCGAATCACTTATAGAGACAAAGGAAATAATAAATTGAAAGAAAAAAATGTAAGCCTCTCATCCACTATTAGGCTATTGAAATGCTAATTTAATCTAAGTGTTGGAAAAAATAGCATTAAAATATTTGGGAGCTATATGTATTACCGGAAATGATGCAAGGCTCTTAAACAACTTCGAAATATGATTTCCTTTGCGAAAAAGAATTAGACCAGTAATTTCAAGTTAATTCATGTTTATTTTTAAGTATACATTTATGTAGCAAGTATACTAATATCAATGTATAGGCTACTTGTAAACTTGTAAGTGTAGCTTTTCAATACTGCTTGGGACTAAATTGGCCCAACTTTTAGTATAAAAAGTATAGGCTATATAAGTGTAGCCTAACTTGTGAAAAACTAGCCTACATTTCCAATTTGTATCTGTGCAACATCTGATCGTAGTATAATTGTAGTTTAGCTACTATTTAAATACTTGTAGTAGTCTACGAAAGTGGGCTACACCTTGAAGTATGCTCTCAGTAAATAGTTGTATCCTATAGCCTACTACAAGTTGCCTACACTTGTAAGTTTTCTTTAAGTGAACATAACATCATTGGTTTAGCTTACTATATATTATTTTTGCACTTTGAGTAGGCTTTATGTTCCTAAATTTAGGTATTAATTTTTTGTTGTTGAAAAAAATTTTGTCGGGATGGGTTTCAGAACATCAAAATACAGATGGAGTAGATTGAGTCCATCAACACCCCCAAAGCTTCTCAGTTGTTAAAAAACTTTTGCTGATAATTTACTCACCCCCATGTCATCCAAGATGTCCATGTCTTTCTTTCTTCAGTCGAAAAGAAACTTGCTCTGTTCTGTGTGACTCTCCTGTTCGAACTCGTTCATCAAAATAAACAAATCTTTTCCTGAGTCAATTCGTAGTCACAAATGCGCATCACAGAAGATCAAGGCGAATATTTGAACTTATAAAACTTAAACTTTGTTGTTGTTTTTTTTTTTAAATGAGCGATCGTTTCACTTGATAAGACCCTTATTCATCGTCTGGAATCGTTTAAAGCCCTTTGAACAGTTTGCACTGAAACTGTCTTTTGGACCTTGAACCGGTTGATTCCCATTGAAGTCCATTATATGGAGAAAAATCCTGAAATGTTTTCATCAAAAAACCTTAATTTCTTTTCGACTGAAGAAAAAAAGACATGGACATCTTGGATGATAAATTATCAGCAAAAGTTTTTTTTAAGTGAACTACTCCTTTAACCATTCGTCGGTCGACATTTCATAACAGTTTTTATTTATATGCTGTTTAAAGTTTGATGATTGCGTTGTTGTTTTTTATTTGTCTAAGCAATCATCGCTTGTTTATTCTTCACCTACTGTATGTGTTTTTTGATGGGGAGATTCTGTACTAGACGATGCGAAACAGCACTGCCATACTGTATAACAGTGAACACATGGTGGGAAAAGAGTAAAGCAGGCTAGATTTGAAGTAAATTCCTATGTACACAACACTATTAGAAACAGACCTGTTTTCTTTATAAATCAATATTTTCAAACAATGAAAGTTTATTAAACAGTTTGCAAAACTTTGTGGAAAAATAATGAAATAGGCTACTCAATCAAACAAGTAAACTCAACTACAAGCCAAGGATAGACTACTTAAAATACTTAATTATACTTTTAAGTATATCTTGATCAAAATATTGAGTACATGTGAAGAGTTCAGATGCAAAAGCCTCTAAATGCCATTTGAAATTTTCTTCTTTAATGATGATTTTTATCAAACTTGTATATTTAAGTTCAGTAATTTCACTTAAATGGCAATGATAATTACCTATTAATAGTTATTTAAGTGATATTACTGAACTTAAATATACAAGTTTGATAAAAATCATCATTAAAGAAGAAAATTTCAAATGGCATTTAGAGGCTTTTGCATCTGAACTCTTCATGTATAGTCCAAATATTTAGACCTTTCTGTTAATATGAGTCAAGTAAGTGCAATTTTATTTCTGAGAAGTACATAAGAAGGCGGAAAGTACACTTTAAAGTACACTTTCTTAGTTTTAAAGAAGTACACTATAGCACACTTGAACAAACTTCTTGGATTGGCTATTCTTAATACTATTTCTTGTGGAAGTAATTGGCCTATGACCCTGCAAATTTTCAGAATGCGTTGCAATTTCACAATCAAGAAAAAAAGTAAGAACGAGACCCTTCCTCCTTCAATGACAGGTTCTAATCTGCTCCAATAAGTCAAAAGCATGGCAGCCACGAATGTTATTGCACATGCCAAGACTACAAATAATAATCTATGAATGCACAGTGCAGATATGGGATAGTGTGGATTTGAGCAATCCTCTGTTCTTTTTCTAACCAAAGGAGCACAACTATAGGCTCAGTGTTAACTGCAGTGTTCCATAATTGTTCACATGAATCAGTCTTTTTATACAAACAGGGAGTTTGCATGAATATGTCTTGAATTTTTTTTTTTTTGTCCAGATTTATAAAGTCATGTATTTGATTAATAGCCGGCCTATACAGTTCCCTTCCAACAACTTGGTTTTGCACACACGTTGAGTCTAAATTATCATAGGCTACTTTCTTTCTTCTTCTTTTTTTGACAGTAGCTTTATAAATCACTTTTATTCTGCATGCTCTTCCTTTTGAGCATCAATATTTCTGAAATCTTGTCTTACTAAAGTTGTAATTATTATATTTAGCAGCATTTAATAACTTTCAGTGCCTGGTAATAAGTATTGTCCAAGCAACCGTACTTATATTAAAACTCTATCATAATTTTTACTGTGTGAATCTGTGTGAAAACAGATTGAATTAAAACATTTCCAGGGATTAAGTTAAAATGGAAGTGACATATAATACAGTAATTGACAAATTGTATTTAGCAAACTCGTATTTTTCAAAAATCAACCATAATATGGAATATCTAACTTATGGCTCTTACAAATATATCTAATTGAAAAGTCTAGTAAACAGCCCCCCACAACTCTACACCCCTCCTCCCCACTCTATTCCAACCTTATGTGACCCATTTTACTCGATGGACTATTTCACCTGACTTCACCCTATTCAGTAACTGTAATGAAAGCTTTGAAAAACTATAAACCATCCACCCACACATGAAACCTAACTGACAATATACAAAGCACATAAGTAAAATAGTGCTTCTTCAACTAGGCACTTTAATATGATTTGTATTAAAAATACAAGTCACCTCTTAAAAACCAGATGCTTTTTTTCTTTTTTTAATAGAAATGTAAAACAGTAAAACAGTCTTAAAAGCTTTTTAGCAGCTAACTATGCCTCTTAGCTACTTTTTCAAATTTTATATACTGAATATAATTTGTATTTGTAATATATAAAATTCAATAAAGATTGAAAGTCTGGGTTTGTAAAACTCTTCCAATATGAAAAAATATAACTTATAATACACTGTAAAAATTATTGTTGTTTTAACTTAACAAAGTAAGTAACCTGGGTTGCCTTAAAATTTTAAGTTGATTGAACTGGAAAAGGTGAGTTGATACAATGAAGGAGATTAATTTAACCATCAGAAACTCAAAATAAGTTATCTCAACTAAATAAATTATTATAAAGTTGATTTGACAAAAGAAAATATGTTGTGATAACAAATCTTGAAAATATTTTGTTACAGTGATATGATCATGTAAACAAAGAGTGAAAGTGAAAGTTTCAATATTTATGCTCTGAAAATAATTGATCCATTTTTATAATAATTTTCCCCACTAGAAACATTTTTGTTTCAAATAAATATTTGTCAAATTACAATCTACTTGGTTAGCATGGATATTTTAAAAAGTGTCGGTGAAAGCATGCTTGAGATTACATAAAGGTGAATAGCTTTTCCAATCAAGCTTTTATTTTGTTGAACTATGCTTAAAATGTCACTTCCACCATAATGCTAAACACAATACATGATTTGAGATGTGGGAAACCGACACTGGTGGGATTGTTCATGTTGTTTCATAAAACAATTATAAAAAACCTCCTGTTTTATTTCCATTGATTCACATAGTTGAGAAATTAAATAAACTAGAAGTATATTAAAAGAAGTATGAAAGCAGCATTTATGCTCTGAATTGGTAAACTTTCCAATTAAATGATCAGCTTTTCTACCTGAATACATTATTCAATATATTTCAATACACTATTGATTCATTACAATCACAACCTGAGACAACCAGGAGCATTTAGTGACATTTGAAGTCACTAAATGCTTTGTATTTTGTAATTCTGGCAGGTAATGCATAAATCTAACTTTCTGATTTCATGAACAGAGATATGTTTTCAAATTATCTTAATCATTTATGCTGGTTAAATGCATTTCATCTTCCTTTAATATATTGTGAGTTTTTTACATTGCCTTAGCTCATCAAAATAAGTTGAGCAACATTTTTATAAGTTGAAAATTTATTTAAAATAAAAT